CGTGCTGACCTCCGACCTGCGCGCGAGGGGCTCGTCGGGCGGCGCCATGAGAGCAGCCTCGGCGGGACGCACTGGGGGCCAGCACGGCGCCAACAGTCACGCCGTCCTCAGCTCTTCGGAGGCCGAGTCGAAGCATGCCGCGCGCAGAGGGGGGCTCGAGGGAGGGGGAAGGAGTCTTAACCGCACCCCTATTAGAAGGCGCGGGCCTTGCCTATAGATGTAGGGCCGGCGCCTTCTAAGAGGCAGGAGTGTTCCTAAGACGCCTTCCCTCCCTCCCCCCTACCCCCCTTCTGCTCATCGAGAATGCAAGAAACCTGAACGTGAACGACGCAGCGAAGGCGTGGCCTCACTTAGGCTCCCGTCTCTGCATCAGGGATGATACATCTGGGCGGTTTGGTTCGATGCATCTGCAGAAAAGACCCCCCTATCCCTGCCTGGTGCTCTTGGCCCTCCTGACTTAGGCCCCCTCCCCAGGGGTGAAAGGATGCTTCCATTGCCGACCCTCTGCGCGTCGCCGATTGAAGCATGCCGCGCAGTTGCGGCCGCCGTCGCCGCGCGCGAGCTTCGAGGAGCGTGCGGCCGCCATGCCCGTGGCGACGGGGGGGCGCCGCCTCTGCGCCGCTGCGCGCTGCCGACGGCCGAGGGCCCGGTGCCGAGGGGCCGGCCGCCTCCACCGCGTGCGGCGTCGATCCCAGCAGCCGCTGATAAAGCGTCACCGTTCGTCGTCGTCGGCGTCGTCGTCGTCGGTGTCGTCGTCGTTTTCGTCGTCGTCGTCGTCGTCGTCGTCGGCGGCGGCGGCGGCGGCGGCGGCGGCGGCGGTGGCGTCGGCGGCTTCGGCGTCGTCGGCGTCGTCGTCGTCGTCGTCGTCGTTTTCGTCTGCGTCGTCGTCGTCGTCGGCGGCGGCGGCGGCGGCGGTGGCGTCGGCGGCTTTGGCGTCGTCGTCGTCGTCGTCGTCGTCGTCGGCGTCGGCGTCGGCGTCGTCGTCGTCGTCGTCGTCGTCGTCGGCGTCGGCGTCGGCGTCGGCGTCGGCGTCGGCGTCGTCGTCGTCGTCGTCGTCGGCGGCGTCATCGTGCCGAGGCCGTCGGGCCCGCGCGGGCCCGCACGGCTGCCAGCCCTGCTGCCTCGGGAGCCGGAGCGCTGCCCCGCACGAGGGCGGGCATCGCTCCCCGCTACATCATCTCCTGCGTGTCGCGATGCGAGTTGGCGTGGGTGGCCGTGATGGCGCTTCGCGCGCGCCGTGCCACATCCCAACCGCCACTGCAGGCCGTGGTCGGACCTGATCTACACGCTGCCGCCAGCCGTTGTGCACCATCTTGTCCGTGACGCAGACGTTGTAGCCCGTGGAGCGCTCGATGCACGAGACCTGCCCGAGGAGCCCTTCACGATGCGCCGTCTGGCGCCTGCCTTGGAGCGGACCGTTTACGATCTTGTTGACCTCCTCGAAGGACGAGTCCATACCAACAGCTCCAACTCCCACGCGTCCAAGCTCGAGATTCCTATGCTCGCCCCTCCCCGCTCGTGTCGCCGAAAGCAGAGAACGGCGACGTGGTCAAGACAGGTACCGCCGAATGCCACAAGCGACAAGCGACCATTCCTTCTCCTCGACGGGTGATGGCACGGACGTCCATGCACGATGGACCAGAGGAGGAGGAGGAGGAGGAGGAGGAGGAGGAGGAGGAGGAGGAGGAGGAGGAGGGAGGAGGAGAGGAGGAGGAGGAGGAGGAGGAGAGGAGGAGGAGGAGGAGGAGGAGGAGGAGGAGGAGGAGGAGGAGGGAGGAGGAGGAGGAGGAGGAGGGAGGAGGAGGAGGAAGAGGAGGAGAGGAGGAGGAGGGAGAGGAGGAGGAGGAGGAGGAGGAGAGGATGAGGAGGAGAGGAGGAGGAGGAGGAGGAGGAGGAGGAGGAGGAGGAGGAGGAGGAGGAGGAGGAGGAGGAGGAGGAGGAGGAGGAGGAGGAGGAGGAGGAGGAGGAGGAGGAGGAGGAGGAGGAGGAGGAGGAGGAGGAGAAGGAGGAGGAGAGGAGGAGGGGAGGGAGGAGGAGGAGGAGGAGGAGGAGGAGGTAGGAGGAGGAGAGGAGGAGGAGGAGGAGGAGGAGAGGAGGAGGAGGAGGAGGAGGAGGAGGAGGAGAAGGAGGAGGAGGAGCTGCGCGGATCGGAGTGCGGTGCGATATTCAAGAGGGTGCGCGAGGGCTCCGCGGGCGCCATCGGTCGGACGGCAGTCTTCGAAAGCGGGCGAGGCACGCGCTTGCCACGGTGGGCATGCCCTTGCCACCCATCACGGTGAAGAGGGCGGAGGACAAGGAGTTGGGCAACCGTTCTCCAACATCTTGGGCTCTCGTCCTCTGGCAGCGAGTGTCCCAGGTGTCTGCCAGGCCGACCCACAGCGACACCGACAAAAGGAGGGGGGAGGAGGAGGAGAAAGAGGAGGAAGAAGAGGAGGAGGAGGAGGAGGACCAGTGTAAACCCAATGGTCGGTCATCAACGATGTTGGAATAAACCCTCCCTCCAAGCTTCCTTTTCATAGACCCCTACAACGGTTAATCTCCACTGCGGGAACTACCTCGTTGGAAGACAACGTTTGAAGGCCTAAAGCGTGCCGCAACATTGTTATCGGAATTCCAACGCCACGGATCAACCTGACTGTTGCGTTTTGACTGTTGCGTCTTGACTGTTGCGTCTTGACGATCCTGATTCGTGCCAGAACACCGTACCTGGGACAACACCGCGAATCAACGTAACTGTTGCACCCTCATCGTCCTGAATCTTTCCAAAGCACCATTTCTGGTACGTTGACCATGGAAGCCCGTGAAACTCTTGCAATTGCTTAAACCGAATGTGCGCGGCGCTAAGGCGAGAACCACATTTTGAAAGCGACCCGACCTCAATCCGTCAAGCTCTTGCAAATGTTGGCAACGAATTCGCGCGGCGCTAAGGCGAGAACCACAATAAAAAAAACGACCCGCCCTCAATCCGTGACACTCTTGCAAGTGTTGAAAACCATTGCGCGCGGCGCTAAGGCGAGAACCACATTTCGAAAACGAACCGCCCTCAATCCGTGAAGCTCTTGCAATTAAAAAACGGGTGCGCGCGGTGCTAAGGCGAGAGCCTCATTTTGAAAACAACCCACCCTCCATCTGTGAGACTGTTGCCAATGTTTTAAACATCAGGGTCATGAGTGGTGAGGACGTCTCAGGCGAAAAGCCTAGCCCCCCCCCTTTCGACCGGCCTCGGGGTGCGACAGTGAGGAATTGTTTATAAGGAAAAGGTATGGAGGAGGAAGACCTGGGTAGGAGAAGGAGGACTCCGACCTGAAGAATGTCGTTGTCGTCGTCGTTGTCGTCACCATCCACGTCGCCGTCGCCACTAGGTCGTTGTCGGCGTCGGCGCCGGCGTTGGCGTCGGCGTCGACGTCGGCGTCGTCGTCGTCGGCGTCGGCCTCGGCGTCGGCGTCGGCGTCGGCGTCGGCGTCGGCGTCGGCGTCGGCGTCGGCGTCGTCGTCGTCG